AGCCTTCATATATATACATAAATACATACATTTGTTACTTTCACTTTCCACAAGAGGGTCTGCGTGTTAAAAAGTTTAGACCGTATGCTACACCATCTTCTTCATCATTGCTTTAAACACAAGTTCCACTAAACACACTTACTATACTTTAGCCAATACATTCTCTACACTTCCAGACATAATGCTATATTGAAAGAAGTTTAAAACTGTGCCAAAGAGCTAATAGCAAGGAAAATGTAAAACTACAAAACATACCATATGCCTCACTGTTAAGAGAAAATTTGTGATCGTGCTCATCAGTTTTACAGGAGGCACATTCATTCACAACGCTGACAGAAATTACTGCAGTATTTTGCTCCAAATTGAGAGTTATTTACCAAATAGATTTGACGATCTTCCAGCTTATTAAAGGTGTTAGCAGTTAATGCATGCAATTTTTGCAAAAAGAAATGAGCTTCAGTAATGAGTTTGATTTTTCTGTCAAAAAGTCAAACTGCACTTGAAATTGTGCATCACTTATCTGTCTGAATGCCTAACTAATCTTGTGGCCTTCTATGATGGAGTGACGGCATTGGTGGACGAAGGGAAGGCGACTGATGTCATTTACCTGGACCTGAGCAAGGCCTTTGACATGGTCCCCCACCACATCCTCATCTCCAAATTGGAGGGAAGTGGATTTGATGGGTGGACGACCCGATGGATAAGCAATTGGTTGAAAGGCCGCAGACAGAGGGTGGTGGTCAATGGCTCCATGTCCAGGTGGAGGCCGGTAACAAGTGGAGTCCCCCAAGGGTCTGCCTTGGGACCGGTGCTCTTTAACATCTTTATTAATGACATCGATGAGGGAATTGAGTGCACCCTCAGCAAGTTTGCTGACAACACCAAGCTGAGTGGTGCCGTTGATACGGTGGAAGGAAGGGATGCCATTCAGAGGGACCTCGACAGGCTGGAGGGCTGGGCTCGGGTGAACCTAATGAGGTTCAACACGGCAAAGTGCAAGGTTTTGCATTTGGGCCGGAAGAACCCCAGGCACCCGTACAGGCTGGGAGGAGTGGTCCTTGAGAGCAGCTCGGCAGAGAAGGACCTGGGGGTCCTGATGGATGACAGACTGAACGTGAGCCAGCAGTGTGCTCTGGCAGCTCGAAAGGCAAATGGGAGCCTGGGCTCCATCAGGAGAGGGGTGGTCAGCAGGGAGAGGGAGGTGATTGTCCCTCTCTACTCCGCTCTTGTGAGGCCCCATCTGGAGTACTGTGTCCAGGTGTGGAGCCCTCAGTACAAGAAAGACATAGAGATCTTGGAAAGGGTCCAGAGGAGGGCGACTAAGATGATCAGGGGGCTGGAGCACCTCCCCTATGAGGACAGGCTGAGGGAGTTGGGCTTGTTCAGCCTGGAGAAGAGAAGGCTGCGGGGTGACCTCATTGCAGCCTATCAATACCTGAAGGGAACCTACACCCAGGAGGGGAGTAAACTCTTCAAAAGGGCTGACAACAGCAGGACTAGGGGAAATGGATCCAAGTTGAGGGAGGAAAGATTTAGGTTGGATGTTAGGGGGAAGTTCTTCACAAGGAGAGTAGTTAGGCCCTGGAACGGGCTGCCCAGGGAGGTTGTGGATGCCCCGTCCTTGGACGTGTTCAAGGCCAGGTTGGACGGGGTCCTGGGCAACCTGATCTGAATGTGTGTGTTTGGTGGCCCTGCTGGGCAGGGAGGTTGGAACTACATGATCCTTGAGGTCCCTTCCAACCCGGGTGATTCTGTGATTCTGTGAATGGGCCGAGATGCTTCAAAGAAAAATTATACTCCATATTTCTCAATGTGCCTTCAATAAGGCAAATATACATGAGTTTCCTGTCTATTGTACTGTACCTATTAAACTAAGAATGTTTATATGAGTATTCAATTGTGCTATTCACTGCTCAAAGAAAAAAAAAAAGAAAAAGTATCTACAAAAAAGTGCTTTTTAATTTCAATTACTTTAGCACACCTTATCAACAGCCATGTGAATAAAATAGATGAGGGAAAGCTTGATAAACGATCCTTCATTTCTACATTTTGTATGTGATATCGTGGACAAATTCTGCTGCACTACACTTGTCTGTCAGGTTGCGTGTGAAAATGAACAACAAAAAACTGTGAAGAAAGACAATGCAAGAAAGAAGTTTTATATGAAAGTATGTCATATTCAGCTTTATACCCAATTTAGATGTATCTAGTCTTGTAATGTAGTGACTTAACTAACCAGTAGATGCTGATAACGACAACTGGTTGTGTACAGACAACTGCCCTGCACACCCCCAAGATTGTGATACAAGACCAGATGCTAACAGGGAATTTCCCGCTGTGAGACTGGAAACAAGACGTCAAATTATCCACTTATCTTTTGGCACCAGGATATGAATTCTGGGTTTTTTCTCATGAAAACTTCCTTCCTTCCCCCCAAATAATATACTACGTAATACACTACTTTGTTATTTTTTTTCCCTGCCTTAACCATCTCTTTCTGAAAGCCTTATTTATTGTTTTGAACTAACTAGAAAGTTAATGGTTATGGGAAATACATGCTAAAATTTAGAAGGCATGATTAATCAAAACAAAATTGCTCAAAGAAAGATTTTCTAAATGAACTTGGAAAGCAAATTGGGAAGTGTTTCATCTTTGTTGCTTTTCCTCAGTTTAATTTTGAAGACACACTTAGTTGTGTTACCTTACCCCAGCTACATGAGTGTAAAGCAGGCTTTCTGATAGCAAAGCCTGAGTAAGGTAAGTCGTGATACTGTTTTTGGTAGAAGTGCTATGGCCCAGTTCCTAACCCAGCTGTCACACTCGGAGCACTGCAAACTTACTGTATCTACATCTGTCCCATACTACATCTTTGAAACATGAAATGCCATTAGCAGATAAACTCATGTGTATCATGGTACTAGACTAACTTACAGTAAAATAATATTATTATACTATATTATTTATTACATAATTTTATCTAATTATTATATATTATTATAACTCTATTTCTAGGTTAAAAAAAAAAAAGCTAGCAAGCGATGCTTCAAATTTTCAAATAAACCTTTCATGCTTGTGCAATCTAACATCAATGTGCAGATTCTTAAGAGCACTGTCTTCTAAACACTGTCTTCTAAATTTCTGAGCTGCTACAGCAGATCATTCTAACAAACTGCACCTATCAGCTTTACCAAGCAAAATGCTGGAGGCACAACCAGAGCACCATTAAATCTAAGCTGAACAAATACACACACAAGCATCATTAGTTTACCCCAAGTAACTCCTGTATTCAGCTGGTTACCTCACTACTGAGTGAACACATCATAGGCTTGTCAGTCTCTGGTCACCACACGTTCCTGTGGTACATCCTCAGAGCCAGTGCAGTGGGAATAACCTGACTGCAGGCAGGTGGACAGAGTGCACCCCAGGCTGGAAGCAGCAGATGGTGGTTATGCTCGTTTGTACTAGAGTCATACACAAAGCAATTTTAACTTGCTCATAAAAAGAGCTGCTGCAAAATTTCATGGAAGGCTGAGACACCCTTCCATTCGTTTTTGAAAGTAGATTTATTTCAGGTTAAAAAAATCAAAGAGATGCATTGAGTAAGGCTGCTTCAAAGAAGCCACACAATCAGGTTACCTAATTTTTTCATAATATAATAAATATAAAATTTTCATAATATAATCGTAAGCCCTTGATTAATTATTACCAGGTAGGCACATTATTATCTGCATTAACACAAAGAGGCATCACCTACATGGCGGAGCACAGCCTCCACAGGAGCCTGTGGTACCATTTCAGCCCTCAGAGAGCAGTAAGCCCAACATACGGCAACACAGACTCCTAAAATACCAGGAAATACAAAAGATGTGCAGAAAAATCAAGTTAGCTTCATTAGTTACTGAGCAGGAGAAGGAACTTTATGATCTACCCACTGATTCATATGAACTAACCCCATTCAGCGGATGCTGTTTGAAGATACTCTGTGCTGTCTCCAGGCTCAAAGCTGTGTTAATGAGGGCAGCTCTCCCACCGAGGGAGCTGACAGCACTGCAGCAGGCAACAGAGGTTCTGGCACCATGCTGAATGTTGAAAAGAAAGCCTGCTTCCACCCACTTTAATGCCTTCGTTTCCACATGAACATTCAGCAAAGATAATTCAATATACAGTGATTTGCTAGCTGTGTTACAGAGCAATAATGCACATAAAACAGAAGAAATAAGCGTTTAAATGCATAAATTGTTGAGGAACACTAGTCTGAGAGCTCACTGCAATGAGCTGAGGCAAGGCTACGTAACGGCTATTATGTTTCACTAACACAGATGTTTCCTTGCTTTTCAAATACATCTTACAAAAACATTTGCATCTATGAAATATTTTTTACTGATTTCAAGCTAGAATTCCATGACACAGTACATTTGAGGCTAATGTTAGGAAATATGTAGATGCACAAAGTGTCCCAGTGCTAGAGTTTAAATAACTGAGTTTCCAGACACAGAAGTGTTCTAAACAACACCAGTGTACACAGCTTTACACCAGCAGCTCGCTACGCCATCCAGATAACAGCACAGAGTAGAAATGAACGGTTTCAAACATCAGCAACACACATTTTATGCAAGAGTGCACTGCTTTTAACTTCCAAATCCACTTGTACAACACAAACTTCTGAAATCTACATCTACCTAATACAATCTCCTCCAAAGATGAAAAATACTTCGACATCCTGAAACATAAACTTTCCCTAAAGCACTGGGGAAGAAGTACTGCAGCTATAAACTAACCTTACTCCTTACTTAACATCAGATGTACACTCCTCCTCAGGGGCTTGGGCTTTGCTTTAATAGTCACCTTTTGCTCTACTGCTCTACTCATAGAGAAGTTTTTAAAAAATGCAGCTTCCTACTCATAAAGAAGAGAAGAAAAATGACTTCGCTCTTAAATAGAAGTCTAATGCTGAAGAAACAACGAGTAAAGTCATGAAATAAATTACAAAATTAAACTACCTGATTTCTTGCGAGCGTGCTATTTCAGACAACAGGAAATGATTAAATTATATTTTCATGAAGGTAGCAGGTCAGCTTTCTCCTCAACACTTCAATCTTCCAGAGGTCCTCCTGCTGCAAGCTCCGTTACACTGAAAGAATAAATAATACAAATATAACTTGGTCATGAAAAAAAACCAAACAAACTATAGTTGTTTCATCTTAGTTACTTATAACAATCCCATTGATTGCCAGTCATTATCTCATAATTATGCTTGTAAATAATTACGCACACTTTCAAGGAATATAAACTTTAAACCTTTTCGTATTTAGAAGTTCTATCTTTTAACTTTTTTTTTTTTTTTTTTTTTTTTTTTTTAATTTAATGCTGTTGAAGATGTCTAACTGTGAGCCATTGTGATTGAAGTGGTGAATGGTACAGCAATTCAGGAGATATCAACCTTGCTCTTCAGCAGAGCTGGAAAATCTTTTTCGCAGATTAGGGTGCATGTACTGAAAGCCCTGATGGCCAAGAGCATACCATAATTCCCAGTTTGCTAGTCTAGTTACCTTGCAAAGCTTTCATTCCAACACCTGTATGCACCAGAGTTCTACTTGTTGAAAAATCTATAGAAAACAATTGGCATCCTCTTCTTTTCCTTTTCAGTCAGGGGAGAACTCCAGCTGGGCTAAATAGAGAACACAAATGTTTTCAATTGTATTCACCTGGCAGCAGGAGAGACAATTCTTCAACAGAGAAGGAACAAACTGAGAGTGGTGTAGATACCTCAAATCTGTCATGACTAACCAGGTTTGCGAGAAGATAAATCAGAGTTTAACAAAGAAAGGCTGAAAATTTGATTAAGGCAAAATCAGAATTCACTGATATATTTTTCCAACAAAGCCATATTTATTTACATATAACTAGAAATAATGAAGAAAATACATTTTAGTTGTGTAGAACAGGTCTAAAGGCCCAAAGCAAGTTAGACAAGGAAGAATAAGAAGCATGGGCTTCTTTCTTACTTAAAAAAGATGTACTGAGTCACAGCGACATCCTTCACAGAAATACACTTTTTGTGTCATCCAAAGCAGTTAATTGTATCTGATAAATTCTGCATAGGATGTATTTGATAAAATTAATGGCCTAGAAGTTGCGCTCTAAACGAAACTGTCCTGTGTCACACTTTCTGACTCAGTGATTCCTGAACACCATACATTATCGACAGTAAACCTCAAAAACCCCAAACAAAAAATACCCAACCCTCTGAGAGTATGTAAAAAATAGAAATAAAAAGGCAACGAAAGGAGATTAGCTACAAATACAGGATTCCCTTTGCAACACCTGGCAAAGCATTTGCTGCTTTGAAGGATTACAGTAAATCTGTTCATCAATAAATCAGGTAAAACAACTTCCCTGTGCAGAGTATTTTTGGAGGAGTACTAAAGCTGCAGGAGGAGATTGCTGTATTTCATATAAGATGACAGCTGCCACATAGGTTTGCATTTAAAATTTTTCAGAGAAAAAATATGTTGCAGAAATAGATAGATATGTGCAGAAGCTAAAGATTAACAATGATGGAAGTTCTATTCTTGAGAAATAATATAACTGGGAAAAGGGTTAATACAACAGTTCACCCACTTAGAGCACGAGCTTGAAGTGAACATCCATCTTTTTCTCTCAGTAATAAAGGAATGAGTCGCTGACATTCTTCAAAACAGTGAAAGACACAAATGTTTAGCTAATCAAGTTTCTTAACCTTGCTGAAATTACAAATGTTATAATTTAAGAGTAAGCCACATTGAAATGAAATTAATTTAAAAATACATATTTAAAACGTCCACTTACATAACAGACAAGCTTTGAAACTTGGCAGAATAAAGTGTGAAGGCCTACACTTTTAACATAACTGAGCCGATGTGAGTGGCTGCAGTAAGAAGACAATGGCTGTCCTTTTACATCAGGATACACAAAAACTGAAGCCTAGAAGTTTTCTGCACTTTGACGCTAGGTCAAAAATTGAGCTCGGTTGTTGAATAGGAAAAAAGGCCTGAACATTCACTGATGGAGATAAGAAGTGACACGTTCTTGAAGAGCAGTGCTGCAGAACAACAAACTGCTCTGAACTCGGAGGTGGGCCTGTGCAAACTTCTCCTCTTTTGGTGGCTGCCTTTTATGTCTCCCCAAAACGATTAAAAGGATTTTAAGCTAGAAAGTGTCGTGTTGGAATATAGGCCAACATATTCAATGCTAGAGAAGCAACTGGGCAAGTAAAAGTAGAAATAAGGATTCATAAGCAACTCTGCCTTCTGCAATCTTCATTTCCAGTGAAATTCTGGGTTGAAGCAAATTCTGCCCTGTCCTTTCCAGCCCCCAGGAGCCTCATTTATTTAATCCCCTCTGATTCTGCTCCTTGCTGTAGAATCCAAACTGCTACTGTGAATCGCTTGTGTCCTCCAAGATGGTCTTTCCCTGACTGTGCTCAATGGATCCCAGGGGAATTAAAAATGTCCTCCTACTGTTTTTTCCCATGGGGTTCCTCTGTCCTGGCCACTACTTTGAAGAACCTCAAGTGTAATGGGAGCACACAAGTAAAATCATCCCTCAGAGTTAACGTTAGCTGCAAATACTAAAAGCAATACAATAACACCATCAGTCATAGAGACATGAACCTAAAATAGATGTTTGTATGTCCAGCTAGAATAGGATAAACTGAATACCTATGTGGGAGAGATTTGGAGCCTGCAGGCACACCCTCTAGAGCATTACGTTAAAACAGATGAAATTAAGTCCAGAGCTGCATCTTGTCAGTGCTGCACCATGTGTGTGCCCATCTGATTCAAAGACAACAGAGCTGCCCAATTTCACTTGAAATGTACATGTTAAGACAACGATTTTCAGAAATACTTCCAAGGAAGTCAGCTATAGCTAACAAAGCAGGGTACTCGGCATGGCACATTTCCAACCTGTCTCAACAATTTGAAATGAAACTGATAAGGCTCACTGCATAAGCCAAAAATGCAAGGGCTGCCTCCTATTTTATTCTGTTGGCCCATGTCAGAGGCAAATGTTGGTATAATGGTATACCTCAGTAGATGCTGAACCTTCCCACCATATTCTGCTATGTTTTGTTGCAGTGTGACAGATGGCAGCAGAGAGGCAGACTAACATAGAAGTGCACAGAAAGCAAAGGTGTGGAACTGAATTCCTCCATGTGGAAAAAATGGCACCCAGTATACTTGCTGAATGCTTACGGAGACCAAACAGTGGGTGTGAGCACAGTGAGGCAGTGGGTGTGTGTTTCAGTAGTACTAACAGTGATGTGAAAGACAAGCTGCAATCTGCATGGCCGTGCACAGCTGTTGCATCACAAAATGAAGTGTCTTGATCAGCTCATTCATGCAAATCAGCTAGTGATGGTAAAGATGCTGAAAAATTGTGTTTTGCAGCCAAGAATTTGCTCGATCAAACACTTTTATTGTGCTCTTGGTATGTGTTGTAGTTTCCATGGAAATAAATAGAAAGCATTACTTTCAGAGCAACCTACATACAGACTAAATGGAAAAGCTAACTGCGCCACAAGAAAAATTAACCCCCAAAGCAAAGATTTGTTTCTGTAGTCTTGGAAACAAGCAAGCAAACAAGCCCTAGCTCTGGAAATCTTAATTCTCTCACGCTTTTCTGAGATCCTTTTCTAGAGCATACATGGCTAAACAAGGAATTATATACATTTGTTTTCACTAAGCATATGGTATCCGAAATGAACATCTCTGGCAACAGACTGCAATTTAATGGGAACGGATTTAAGGAACGTTTCATGTCATGTGAGTAACATCATTTTAAGCTCTTCTTATCCTCAGCTCCTAAATGACAGCGATGTGCAAATTAATATAGCACTTAAACTGCAGAATTATAAAATAATCTTTTTTTTTTTTTTTTTCACCAGAAAATTAGAAAAAAAAATACCTGGGTTAAAAGAAACGGATGTCATCGGAGTTGGTTACTTGCACGTAGATAAAGAGATAGCAAAACAAACATAATTGTGCTTCTTAAAAATGATGCTGTGCATAACTTTGAGGGGAAAGAGCTGCTTTAAGTAGCTGTGTGTTACCCAAAGCCTTGCAATGTTTTGGAGTCAGAAGCCACAACTATCGAGTACGTCAGAGAAACACGTGAAGTTATCTCCTGATCATTTGACTTGTTGGATGCCCTGACACGGGACACAGATTCAAGCACGTTCATCTGAGTCCAAATGCCTTCTACAAAAGCCTTGGAGGACTATGAAGACAGAGAGAAAGGATTCTTTATACAGTCTCATCAAAGATGTCAATTTCTAGTGTGCATACTCAAATTAACTCAAAAACTTAGCTGAAAGCAATTCGACATTAGGCTTTTTGTTTGTTTAATTTCAAACAAGCATATTCTGGCACAAAACCAGTTTCTAATCAAGGAATTGAATAATTCAATAATCGCTAGCATTTTCTGCCAAAAAAACTTCACAAAGTCTCATCAAAAGGACTGCATCCTTCTAGGGCTAAGCAGAAGGATGAGAGACAACTGCATTTCAGTACATCACTGACAGAACTCAGCAGGAATCACTACAAGAGAAGTTACAAAGCATATTTCATTTGAGGCAAAGTACTACAGTAGGAATGTCATTTTGCACATGAATGTTTCCTGTGTGATATTCTCCAGTCTGTTTAGTTATCCGTTGGAACTTATGACTCAAACATGAAGGTGACAGGAGCAGTGAATTTTGTATTTTCAAAGTGTAAGATGGGGTATTAACCTTTTAATGGCTCTTCATTCAAACCCAGCATTCAAAGTAAAAAGTAAAATAATCTATTTTATTGTCTCTGTAACATTACGCAAGAGAGTAAATCCACGTTCACATTGTGGAGAAACATTGCATACAAAGGATATGATGCTGCCTGAATGTGTTTGGGAAGAGTCATATAGTGACCCACAACCAGCAGGCTCAACAGTGGAGCAAAATAAAACCATACATATTTGAAAATTTGGCTCGAAGGCTTTCTATTGGTTCTTCAAAAACATCTTCCAAAAGCTATTTTTTTTTTTTTTTTTTACTGATTCCAAACGTCAGTAAATGCATAGAGAACTTCTTTTACTAAGGGGTCTAACAGGCTCAGAGAACTGATAACAGATGTTACGGAGAAAAGTTCTGAAGACTGCTTAGAAATCACAGACAAGAACAAGACAAGGAATACTTTCAGATGATTTCAATTGTCTGGGATGTGGACCACAGGCAGTTTAAAAACATAAACCTCTTACGTATGACTACCATCAGGTATTTTTTCTTTTTTGAGTACTCTCCTTTTAAGGCAAGAATCTAGATATGAAATAGATAAATGCTATGTGAAAATAATTCCTAGGAGCTGCAAAATGCTCAATCACTAATTTTCCACAACCCAGAAAATAAACTAGCAGGCATTGCAAGCAATTTTTTTTCCTGTGCTCTATGGGGTTTTATCAGGAAGAACATACCTTTTCCTATGCCCAGTTTATCTAGAGGAGGAATTAGAAGCATTACCCAGCCGGCCTTTTCCTACATTGGGTTACTGCTGCATGGCATTCTAGACAGGCAGTTTTCTTCTATTTAATTATGCCTACCACCTACATGTGT